GACTTGCTCTAGAGAGCTGTGGTGTGAGACACGAAATGGCAAGACGCACTCCAGACAGGCAACAAAAGAACGAGATGGTTAAAATCATACAAAATGCATAGATGGTGTAGCAGATGGCGTCCATGCCAATAAGCAGAAGCTTGGAACTTCTTCATCAACAGGGCGGTCAGAGGCTGAAACCTCCCAGGGCCAGTGCAGGTACGTCCCGGTCGCGAATCCTTCAATGCAAACCAACTGTCGATGGCGCGAGGGAAGGGCAGATGCAAGGCTGTAGCGCTGTCGGCGCGCCCCCCCCCCCTACCCCCTGTCGAGACGCTCCAGTGAGATGCTTCAGGATTTACTGGACGACACAGCTCGGAACGGATCAACAGTGCCTAGGTACCGTCTCTGATTGGTCATCCCCCACCCCGTCGCGCTGCCACTTTGCGTCAGGCACCTGGCTTCCCACGCACCCAGACTTTTTTTTGAGTCGGTGGGCCAGGGACTAGAGCTCCTCGTCTGCCAGCGACGACCACATCCCACCAAAGAGGTCCCTCACCACCACCACCACTACCACCACCACTACCTCGTACCACCCCCCTATACACCGACCAGATCACGACACATCCGGCCGGCAGTACCCATCATGTCGCTCAATATCCCCAACGCGCCCAACGCGAACCTGTTCAAGGGGGGTTATAACAAGTATTACCCCCTCCCCTCTCTTCCTCTGCCGCCTTCCTCAAGCTTCTCCCGGTAGCCCCTGTTGCAGCTCTTCCGCCCCCCCACCTTTGCAACATGATGGCAGGCAGAACCACACCGTCAACGCAATACTGACCCATCTTCCCATAGCTACGATTCCGAAGATGGCGCCGTCCTGCGCAACATCGACGCCTGCAGGGCCATCACGTCGACCGTCCAGACTTCTCTCGGCCCCTACGGCCGCAACAAGATTGTCATCAACCATCTGCAGAAGATGATCCTGACTTCCGACGCCGCCACCATCCTCCGCGAACTCGATGTCGTTCACCCCGCCGCCAAGCTGCTCGTCATGGCCAGTCAGCAGCAAGAGTCCGAGATGGGAGACGCCACCAACCTGGTCATCATCCTGGCTGGTGAGCTGCTGCGCAAGGCCGAGGACCTCCTGCGTATGGGTCTCAAGACGTCCGATATCGTGACCGGCTACGAGAAGGCGCAGAAGATGGCCCTCGAGTCTCTCGAGGAGCTCTCCGTCGACAGGGTCGAGGACATCCGTGACCAAGACGAGCTTGCCAAGGCCATCCGCACCGTCGTCGCCAGCAAGCAGAACGGCCACGAGGATTTCCTTGGTGATCTCGTCGCTGAGGCTGTCCTGTCTGTCCTCCCCAAGAACCCCCTCGGCTTCAACGTGGACAACATCCGTGTCGTCAAGATCATGGGCGGCAGCCTCGAGCAGAGCCGTGTCGTTAAGGGCATGGTCTTCCCCAAGCAACCCGACGGCACCATCAAGAAGGTCAAGCGCGCCAAAGTCGGCGTCTTCTCCTGCCCCATCGACACCAGCCAGACCGAGACCAAGGGAACCGTTCTCCTGCACAACGCCAAGAAGATGATGGACTTCACCAAGGGCGAGGAGAACCAGCTCGAAGCTGCCATCAAGGAGCTCCACGATGTCGGCCTGCGTGTCGTCATTGCCGGCTCTACCGTCGGTGACCTGGCCCAGCACTACCTCAACAAGTACGGTATTCTCTTCATCAAGATTCTCAGCAAGTTTGAGCTCCGCAGAATATGCCGTGTTGTCGGCGCTACTCCCCTGGCCCGCCTGGGTGCTCCCATGCCAGACGAGATGGGCTCCATCGACATTGTCGAGACGCTGGAGATTGGCGGTGACCGCGTCACCGTCTTCCGTCAGGAGAACGACGTTACGAGGACAGCGACCATTGTGCTGAGAGGCGCGACGCAAAACCACCTCGAGGACGTTGAGCGAGCTGTCGACGACGGTGTGAACGTTGTCAAGGCTATCACAAAAGACCCCAGGCTCGTGCCCGGAGCAGGTGCCACTGAGACACAGCTCGTCGAGAGGCTGACCGCCCTCGGCGAGAAGACACCTGGTCTTGCCCAGTATGCCATCAAGAAGTACGGCGAGGCATTCGAGGTCGTCCCCAGGACAATCGCCGAGAGCGCTGGTCTCGATGCCACCGAGGTCCTCAGCAGGCTCTACATGGCGCATCACAAGAAGGATGACTGGGCGATTGGCGTCGACATCGAGGTGAGTCGAGAAGACCGAAGTTGCATGTCAAGACTCACGACTAACACGGCGCAGAACGAGGATGGCTCCGGTACCCTGGATGCTCGTAAGGACGGTATCCTGGATCTCCTGGCCCCCAAGGCCTGGGCTATCAAGCTGGCTACCGAGGCCGCGCGGACCGTGTTGTCTGTCGACCAGATCATCGTGGCTCGACAGGCTGGAGGCCCCAAGCCTCCCGCGCCGAACCCTGTATGTTTCCGAGCACATTGCCGCCCCCATCTTGTGTCCAATGTACTAATCTGTGTTGCCGCAGAACTGGGACGAGGACTAAGCGATTCGAAAGGCGGAGGTGGAGTTTTTGAGTCGGCCGAGAGGATCGCTACGTACATCAAAAGTCATGTCAAGATATCCCCTATAGATGGACCGGAACAGAACACTCTGATGAACACTTTGTGCTGGATCCCCCGTGAACGTGTGCCCATATTATTACGGCTGTGATGGCCACCTCGAGGTGACCAGCGGTCGGACTACGCAAATTCAACGGCCAACAATAGAGAGGCCATTAAAAGCCTGGTCGGAAATGTCCACACTACATGGATGCTCAGTCGAAAGCGGGATGTCTACCTTGATCCACGGATGTGCCTTTTAAATGAGCTTGGGCTTGAACGTGTTCATAGTAGATAGCTGCCTTGAGGGACTTTGTCACATGGACGCTCTATTTTGATATTACTATGATGTCAGATTCTCTTGGTCGAGAGGGTGCAACTTGGTCCTTACTATAGAGCAGGCCTTATCTTGCGGTCCGAATATTTATCGGCAATATTGATTGGTATATTCAGTCTCATCTCTAATCCTGGCTTTGACTTGTCTATACAAGGAGACATCGGAATGTTTGCAAATGGACGCCGTGCCAGCTAGTCCTGTCAGCAATTGTCACCAATAGCTGGCCGCTTGTATTTCAGCGAATGCTGGATGACAATGAAGCGTTCGCTTAGGTGGCTTGTGAAGCAAAAAGATTGATGTTGACTACCTTCACAGACCTTACCTCCATTGACGACAACCTGCGACGGACCACAGGACTCGCAGGCGAAATGATGGCCGCGGCAAAGAAGAAACCGGACCCCAAGACGAAGGCGAAGTCGAAATGGCTGTCCAGACCGCCCCCAGCCCCGTGAATGTTTAACGCAAGGCAGTCCGGCCCCGATACTCCGATGGCCCCAAGACTCCATTCACTGCAGATCCCGGTTGACGGTGGGTGGGACTCGAGCTGCAAGTATACGGTTCCGGCGCGCAAGACAAGGTTGATAGAGAAGTGCGCCTACTCCAAACAGGATAAGAAGTTCATCGGTGACTTCTCGCTATTGAACCGATTCACGGACAAAGAACTGGTCACTCAATCTCCGGCGCGGTTTATACCAGCCGAAGCCATGATCTGCCTGATTCCTGGTAAGAAGCTTGACGTACTTCGGACTGAACTCGATGGATCTGAGCGCGCTATTCGCCTAAATTAATGGCAGACCCTAATCCCGAAGGATCAGAAGGGAGACAAGCACATCGAAAGATCGTACGGGCTGATCTACCGAACCACAATCACGGGGCGATAGACCCTGGGCCAAGTTAGTCAGATGGGTTCTTTCATGCCCTATGACTGGTCATCCGCAGCTAGGCAACAAATACCAAGTATCGAAGCTTCCTTTCTTCTAGGCGAAGTTGACCGAGGGAATTTAGATGTGCCTTCGCCTAGTTGTCTTCAGGGTTCGACTTATACTCACATTGTGATCATACGACATTGACCACTACAGCAGACTCATTTCCCACACGAGGCGGACACCACTGTGCTGTACATATGATTTATTCACCCAGTTTTGCATCGAGGCTCACTAACACACATCAATAGCAAGCATTACTTCAAGTCTAAATTGATAGAGCTGGATTCTCCCCTTCCGTTACACAATACACTGTACACGCCGATACGTACAGTCCTCTGGAGGGCGTCTCCCGCAGAAGCTCTATTCAAATAGTTCAAATTTGTCACTGCTCGCCGCCTGACCCAACTATGCATTTTGATCGCAAAACTCATCTATGAGCTGGTCAGACTTAAAGTGGTGGACCGCATGCCTCCAAGGACCCCATCTATGTTATCGCCACGCCTAAATGACGACTTGAACTCTCGGAAGCGGAAGCTTGTTCAACAAGGTTATGACCCAAAAGCATCTCTCAACAAGAATCTTGGAACGACTGGTACAAGGCCAGTCGATCGGTTGACACAGGGCTGCTAATCTGAAGAGACGCTGGCGAAACTTTATATGTGCCTGCCTGGTACTTAACACAGGCTAGCCGAGCCAGTGTTCAGGAAAGCTTGACTACCCTCATCGGTAGGAAAATCCGCGCGTCTCCGCGAGGACAGGGATCAAGATCATGATCCGTCGCGCTGGTAAACTTTTTTCAATATCAGGTATCACTAGAGATGAGGAACCAGCCCATCTATATGGTTGTTATTCTATCTTCACGACATATAGCCAAGGTCGATGACTAGCTAGCTCAGGGTTGAAACCATGTCTGTGCTTAAGCTTCTGTTCACCTGGCTCATGATAACATATCTGGTCGGCCTGAGATGAACGCGGCCGCGGAGCCTCTACACACTCTTGTGCTGATAAGCGAAAGCAACATATGAGAACGTCACCAAGAAAAGCTGGAAGCTCGTCGAGCCTTTCCGGCGACAAGTTTTAGTAATTCTTGATCTAGCGAAAATAAACGTCGCTGACACAACCCCTAACACCAGACCATGAAATACCCCTATTTTGAAGTCAACCCAGTAGCGGCCCAAAACAGCATCATAGTGTGGATCACAGCCCCCCCCCCCCCTTCATGGATTTGTGCTGAGCTTATATTATGCAAGTCAAGGGAGGCAGGGGGCTCATATCTAGTTTCGAACTTGTGGAACGAAGCGCGATTACTACCAAAAGTCTAAGTTGCCGCTGCTCGATAGACCCCTGCCCCGAATGGGTATGCTGAACTAAGAAATCCTGCGGCTCATTCGCCTGAACTAGCAAACGGCCTTTATGACCACGCGTACATTGACAGGCTTTCAAGCTTTGTGGCTCATGCCTTCTGAAACTTCGCAAGGGCTTCCCTTCCACGCAAGAATCCAATGATTCCGGGATCTATGGCCTGTAAGCACCTGGATTGAACACAGTGGCAACGGCACCTTGAACAAGATGGTCGGATTCGGTACTTGCAGCTGCCTTACACGCCTCCCAGATCAACGCAACACACAGGTCGATGGTGAACGTAGCGAGAGCTGGGTATGTCGAGTCCGGACCGAAGGCGACTCAGTACTCGCCAGTACCATGACCAGTACGGGGCGGCCCAGCAGCAGATCGTGTCACCTCGGTCATGCGTTGCTTGAACAGACGGATACGCTTCTATCCACGATCAGAAGTCTCGGTCCCTCAGGCAGGGCTCATCGGGCTCTGGCAGGCGGATGGGCTGCCGGCGTGACATCGCTGCGTCGGTGCTGTCCGACGGGAGGGTAAGCTGACCAAGGTCTTGCGAGGCTGACTCGCGTGAACCACTACCGGCGATACCAGACCACACCCCCCTGCGTAGCCTTTCATGCGAACTATGGTATTATCGTGGTCCAGCCACCTGGTTCTGCGCAAATTGTCGGGCAGAATATGCTTGTCGGGCAGCAACAGGAAGCGCCAGACATTGACCCTTTGCGATATGAATTCGCAGAGGGGCGGGGAAACTGGCAGCGTCTGTGGGCGATACCAGATCCATGGCCGTCTGTGCCACGACGATCACCCACGATGGGTTTCGGTCGATCCGGGTGCTGGGTCATTGATGCTGGCTAGCCTCCCCAGGCTGAGACACCAGACCGAGAGCAAAAATCTGGGGGTGCCACAAGCGCTGGCTGTCTGATCAGGATTCAGGCTCACCACCGAACCATAGTCTTGCCGTTGGTAGGGGATGCCTGGTCCCGGCGATTCATGGTGGCTCGCGTTCCGGGCAATCAGTCGAGCACAGCCATCTGTGATCGACAGGGGCCGCCCGGGTCGAGACCGTACGGTTGAAAGGAAGAATGATCCGTCGAGGAGGGGAGGAGAGTTCATCGAAGAGGGGGGAGGAGTCCCGTCGACATTCACGGACCTGAAACGACCTCTCGGTGACTACTACGAATACGTCGTAAAGTTGCCGATGAGCTTGCATATCACGCTTGGTCTTGCTTCAAAGTTGGCGCTGCGAAAATTGCTCATGAGCCGTGGGCATAACTAGAAACCAATGGATCAGGGATTGTTCACCTAATTGACCATGAATGTGGTCCGTGGCCAAAATGCCCCATAAGCCTCGAAAATTCAGGGTACACCACTCTGTTTGACGTCTGTCGACGAAGAAGGGAAATCTAGCGACAACAGCGGTGGCCCCTGCTCACCACGTTGGCCACATTCCTCGTCGTCTTGGAACATCAGATGGAAGATCGTGTCTACGGGCCACAGACGGCCGGTGTCAGATGAAAAGCGGGTTGGGAGCAGCAACGGCCTACACACTAGTGCTTGGCTTGGAGACGAGCGCAAAAAGATGGCCCCCGCCACTCTGATGGTGTGGTGATGGTGCGCGTCGACACACCCTTTGGCCACGCATGCCCCCTTTTGAGGAGTCCCCGAGTTAAAAGATTGCCATGTTCAAGACGAAGTGTAAGACATTGACCACTGCCATGCACGCACTCGGGCTGAGAAGGTGCCGCGGCGAAACGTGGCATCTGCACAAGAATTGTCACACGCATCGATTCGTTCCATGAAAGGTGTCTCATTCGGAGGACTCTCCAAGCTGAAACTTGACTCGTGCTCCATCAATGGACAGGAAATTCGCAAGATTAGTGATTCTACTTGGGTCGCGGCTTGCGAAGCTAGACATGCCCGACCCTCTTGCTCTTGACCACCAAACGGTTCGTGCCGTCAATGGTCCATCAGTATGCGTTCTTAGGCGAGAAGGCCAAGAGAACTACTCCAGAAGACCATTGACAGCTGGAAATTGGATGCTCCAGTGAGTAACAAGGCAGGAGACGACGGTTCGACGCAATACGAATCGTGCAAATGTTCAACGGCTGGACCCAGAGCTCAAGCGTTGTCGACTGGCGCCGGCTCGTGAGTGCCTATTTCGGCTTGCGAAGTCTAATGGCGAGCCCCGAAATGGATCGATAGAACATGATGGAGTCAGCGCCATTCTGCCTGAGCCAACCGCGGTACAGAAGGAGCCTACACAGTACATACGGGCACTCCCTGTGCGGACTGAACGGCTCATTGGCTCTGCCGAATCGACGCAGTGAGGGCCAGAATCAGGTTGACGCATCGGCGCTTGGACGTTGGACCGCAGCATTGGATTTAGCAGTCTTTTCTGGAGCGCCATCGAATATGGCCGCGTCTGTGCGGTTCGTCAAATGGGCGACAGTGATAGTGCGACGGGCATCGCTCTCCAGGAGAAGACCCAGGAGAAGACCCAGGAGAAGACCCAGGAGAAGACCTAGGATGCGAGACCATCCCCAGGGTGGACAGGTAACTCCCTGGGGGCAGGCCTCTCGCTGTCACAACCGCAAGAGCGAACTGGCGGGCGCAGGAGCGACGCATGATGCAGGCATCCGCTGTCAAGCCACCAGCCGACCTAGTGAATCACCCCCTCCTTCGCTCCTGCACCGACTCAGGACCTACCCAGCAAAGCCTGCAAGCCTGCAAGCTTCCAAGCTTCCAAGCCTAGGTAGGTAGGTACCTTAGGTACCTTAGGTACCTTAGATACTCCAGCCTACAAGCCTGTCGTGGAGGCCCAACCCGTGGCGGTCTTTCGGCTTAGAGTACCGGTTATGCAGCTCGCTTACATGAGGCAAGGGACATCCTTTGGTCGGAATGTTCGCCTCGCTGCTCGGTCTGTAGTCGACCCTATTTTCCATTATCACGAGCTGCTTCACGCCATCGCGTGCCATCTGTGTTCAGTCCTCGTCAACCTAACACGGAGACATCAAAGAGAACCCCGACCTCGATTCAGGCCGGCCGGTGCAGGAACCGACGAGGCGGCCACGACATTCCCAGGTCGATCGAACAAGGTTACCGCACGTGGCTGTAGTCCCAACGCCCCTGGTGTTGTCGATCTCTTTCCCAAGCTGGCCGCGTCCGCTTGGTCCTTACTGTCCACCGGTCCGACAAATTACTTGGTTGGGCTCCCACTTGCCTGGCAAGGGATGATTTTTCTTGCTCTCTCCATTTCGCGTAATGCGTGGAAATGACGGAATCTCAGATTGCTCGCAGCGATCAGAGCCAGCCGCCGGCGCAGCTTGTCGATCCGCGCCCCTTTCTGAAGACCCAAAATGTGTCTCTGATGGGCGAATTGGTGATTCCCTGGCCTCACGTGGATCGCGGCTCCTCCCCCAGATTGATGTGCGTCAGCGAGCCGGTCATTATCAATTCCCACGCCCATCATTCCAACAAAACTCTCACCTCGTGGCTAGCAGCTGACGAGTGGAGCGGGATCGCCTCTACAACCGTCCCCGATCGATGCTGTCATGCCCCTTGTTCTTCCTACGTCCGAGGTAGCCCGACCACAATCGCACACGGATCAGCCTGGCCTCGCCAGCACCTATCTCGACAACTGACATGGCTGACAGGAAAGACCGCCTCAATTCGGAACCCGAAACCTTGAGCGAGCGTGGCGTGTACAGACACGTCTTGTCAGTGGACGCCGTTGGCTGCACGCACGCCCGGCACACGTAGCTTGCTGCACGCCTTGACGGTGGACAAGCCACCACTTGTCCGTGTGGCCATGCGTGCCGCTGAAAGCACGCCTTTCTGCCGGCAAACGGGCCAAGATCGTCCTCAGCTCTGATGAACACGATGCACCTACCGACCAGGCCAGACTGCCCGAATGAGCGGTTGGGCAACTTATCTGTGGCTGCTTGCTAAGGAAGCCACGAGGGGGAGGCGTTACAGCCTGAGTCGACGACCTGCGCGCGCGCGTGCCGGCTACGACACCCACATGACAAAGAAACATGCGAGCGAATCCACCACAACGTGCGGCGGTTCTGGATACTTCCCTTGTGAAAGCTGTGACCATTGCATCCCTGATAACATTGCCAGGGCCACCTTGGAGCACAGCGAGACGGCATGCTACCGAGCGTACCATTTGCGTGGGTTCCTACCTGTGGCGCCCTCAGGCTAGGGGCTCGCGAAGTACCATGTGCTACGAACAAGGGCAACCCACATGAGGCGCACGTTTTTGGCTGATTTTCCGGCACCTTCCATTGGAAATGGGTTCAAGAAAGACGCAACGTACTGGGATCACACACAATTCGGCGACATCCTTTCCTCACATGGGCATCCTTGGCCACTATTGCTCAAGCCCTGCCATCTGGCATTGGTAACCCCCAGTTGGGTTCCCGGTCGATAAACTATGCCCTTTTCCCAACAGCGACGCGACCTCTTCATTCGCGTGGTGTCAGCCAGGGACAAGCTGAGAGAAACGAGTGCCCTTGCGTTCGGGATGTTATGAACACTGCATAAATGATCCATATTCCGGGCTGGCGACACTGTCATTTGCCCTTCCACTGTGGACCAGATTCGAAGCTGGAGCCATTCGGCCGCTGGCCCAGAAGCCCCACGCTGTACTGGGGGGTCTGAAATGTGGCTGCATCATTGTGGGGAGAATCCTCGTCTCAAGTCTTCAGCGGGAGACATCCGCCTGCAAGCTGATTTGTGCGCAGACGATCCCTTGGTTCCTCGGTTGCTCTCGAAACACCCCCTTCGGCTCGAGATTTCAAGATTCAGAGACGCCACGACTGCGGTCAAGGATGGCGGAGAAGAGCAAGCGGAAATCCATGTTGACAACACACCAGGCTGGGGCGATGTCCGCCGTGCTCGCCGCCTCGATGGGCCAGGGTCCGACCCAATAGACTCCTCGGTCGTCTTGTAACTGGGGTCAACAACATGGCGAAGTAACATCAGTCCGAGTCAGCTTCAATGCTACGATGCACTCCGAAAGACTATTCAGCAAGGGACATACGATAGACAAGCGGCTGCTGTCAGCCAGCACGCACCAGAGATTTCGTCCGAAGGATTCGTTTGAACGACTCGCTATTTTGCCTCCCCCTCTCGGCCCTTCTTAGAATCC